TACAATTATTACTATATAGAGGCAAGTTCCTTAAGACGAGATCTAGAAAATTACAATATGAAATTTATTCTTATTTATAACTGACCCAAGTTGGGACCATAATTTTTTATAACTATATGGAGGTTATTCCTATATAAAGTATCACTATAGAGAGATTTTATTATAGAACTTTATTACTTCAAATGTTTTCAAATTATGAAGTTGAATGTGGAAACACGACAAATGTACAACCACCATCAAAGTCAAGTTCTTCTAGAGGTAAAAAGCTTATTTGGTCTATTATTACTAAAGGAAAACAACCGGTAGGTGCAAGCTTTTCATATAGTAAAGTAACAAATTATTTAACCATGGATTAAATGATCAATTGATATACTTCGATGGTGGAAAGCACATCAAAATACTTATCCTATACTTTCCACCATCGCATGTGATTTACTAATACCTCCAGTTTCTACTGTAGCATCAGATCAACTTTTAGTGCAAGTGGAAGTGTATTGGAGGAGAGAAGATCAAGTTTACACCCAAGTGTTGTTGATGTGTATGAAAGATTAGGTGGTAGCAGATTTCAAGCTTCAAAATTGTGTTGTTGAAGATATATTTGAAGATTTTAAGAATTTATAAATTAATAAAAATGAAGATGTATAATAATGCTTAATCCTAATTTCTAAGTTTGTATTTGTAATTTATAATTATAACTTAAAAAGTAATAAAAAGTGTTGAAATTCAATTAATATTTCAATGTCTCATTATTTTATTATATTTTACAGTGATTATATTTTTTTAATTAATATAAACACAAAATATAACATATAAAATATTTTTATAATAATTAATAATGACAAATCAAAATTACCATAATTTATAAATAGTAAAATTAAACATTTTTACAAAGCATGCTGGCCTGCCCAGGGCACGGCCCAAGGCACAACATGATATATAGCAGGCCGTGCTATGCGCCTAATTTGGTGGGCTAGCATGTCACGATAGGGCACAAATTTTTGTGGGCCTTGGCATGGTACGGCCCATGGCACGAGGGGCCTTGAATTTTTAGGCACGGTACGGCCCACACCGGCTTTATGTACTACCTGTACAACAAAAAACTAACCATCAATGTTAGTATCTTAAGGTCGATCAAATCGCTCTAGTTGGTGTATTTTTGCATTAACATGTTTTGAGTAGAAAGTGAAGAGGAAACGAGATTAAATACAAGTGAGGAAAAAATGTAAATAGAAAAATTGCAGGTAGTTTGTTTTAGTTGGTTATGAAGCTACAATCTATATCTACATATCTATATAATCCTGAAGCCCACGATCTCTAGACATTTGGACACTATGTAGGATTCCACATATAATTCTAGTAGGATATTGCTCGCCACATGGGATCTTTAAGCATACCTTGGTTGAGTGACACATAGGATGTTGACTTAATGAGATATTAATACATTGCATCGGTATTCTAAAGGTCGTGGTTTAATGAGACATTAATGCAGTGCATTGTTATTCCAAAAGTTCATAACAACCTTATGCGGTCCTCAGTCTCATCTCTAAAATTTGCCTTTCCGAAAAACGTTAACATCGCACCTTTACTTGACAGCAGATTTGATTCAAAGAAGTGTGAGGCTCTTAAGCGATTTCTCGCTCATTGCTCAGGGCTTCGATGTCTCAAACTTCTTCCCTCAGGTTCCTACTTTTACTATCACTTTTAATTTTGTTTGGTTTCTGTTACTGATGACGTGTAAAGAATAATACATACACAAAGATACTAAGAATTTGAATTCGTAATTGTATTGGAGCTGCTGGAGTAAGATACAAACAATTTCAATTAGTTTCATGTAGATTCGTTTTGTTTATTTAGATTTTCAGTAAGTTTGAGTTTGAATTGTGGTTTATGTCAATTCCTAGATTTAATACGATACTGAATGTTACTTGCAACCAATTTGAGTTTGTATCTGGATTAATTAGTTGATTGCTATTGTCTTCAAAATTGAATGATAGTTAATTCAGTATGATCGAAATTTAATTTATAATATATATTTGGTACCGTTTTATCTAACTTTTGGTCAATGGCATTACAGGTTGTTAAAAATGTGATATCTGAGTCATTGGAAGTAAGGATGTACTGCCTAAGTTGTATTATTAAAATCTCTATTTGTCAGTTAATTCTTAAATATCCAACTCTTCTTTTTCTCTTGGCTATCTATAGAAAATGGATTACTTGTGGTCTTGCAGAATGCTTAATTTCACTTTAATTGGTTTTTGGGTAGGAAGCTTTGAAAGGAAGCTAAATGCTATAATAGAATATTCCAAGTTTCTTCATGACACAGTCAAAGAAATAAAACTGGTGCATATGCAGGGGCCAGGTAAGACTCTGCAACATGGGCACCTAACTTTGGAAGCAGTTGGAGAACAACAGGAGATATCAAAGATACACTACACGAAAAATGCCTTTCGGCATTTAGCAAAATTAGATGCAGAAAGTAACATTTAGACGCTAACCCATTTTTTGCATGTAAATTTCGTAGTCGCCACTTAGTTGCAGTATCGCTGTCGTAGATTGTTTGCACGTCTAAAGTTTTGTTTAGATGCAGAAATTTTTTTTTTAGCGACTAGCAAATTAGTTGCTAATTGCTGGTCAAAATAGTCTCCCAGCTTAGACGCTAATAGTTCAAGGGTAATTTGGTAAAATTGTATAGTGACTAATTAATTAGTTGCAAAATGTACTTTTTAGTGTCTAATAATTTGTCGCAAATACCACAAAAATTAGACGCCAAAGGTGTAAAAGTAATTTCGTAAAAAGTTTTTGTAACTCTTTTATTAATTGACGAATGTATCTTTTGGTAATCAAAATTTAGTGGTTAATTGTAATACTTTTAGACGCTAAATGTAGAATCCAAAAGGTTTTCACGACTATTTTATTAGTGGCCGAATGTATCTTTTGGTGACCAAAATTTACTAGTTAATTATAGTCATTTTAGACGCTGAATGTGGAATCCGAAAGGTTTTCGCGACTATTTTATTAGTGATCAAATGCACTGTTTTAAAAATCGGATCGGACCGACCAATCCAACCGATTGGACCGTGAACCGGTCACATGTCCGGTTCAAGTTATCCTCAAACCCGCTAGTATGTATTGAGCCGTTTTAAATCTGTTGAAAACCGGATAATATGAGTGACTGGCGAAAAAACTGGTCCACAATTTAAATCCCTAATACGCGACCATCGTCTTCTCTCACGCAGCCCATTCTTCTCTTCTTCTCTATCACGCAACGTCGCAACCTTTCTTCTCTTCTTCTCTGTCACGCAGCGTCGCAGCCCTTTCTCATCTTCTTCTCTTTCAGTTTTTCTCACAAAAATTCTCACGGTTTCGGCTGTCTTCTGTTCTCTGAAATCCCACCTAAATCGCATCTGAACTCGTCGAAAATCAACGACGACGTCTTCTTCCCTTGCCGGAAATCGACGATGTCTTCCTCCCTCGCTGGAAATTGATGGCGACAGCTCCATTCATCGATCCAGGTAACGCCATTCCTCGCTCCCTTTACATTTAAGTTAACACCCTTTACATTTTTCAATCTATAGAGCTGTTGTGGTTGTATTGTAACAATACTATTGTTTACCTTGAGTGAATCTTTGTTCATAAGTTACTGTTTTTGACCCTTGGCTGTTGTTGGATGTCCTGATTTTTTGTTGTTATTAGGATGATTATTCAAAGATAAAATTAGTGATGTGTTAGATGAGGCTGCAAATAATTAATGTTTTAGCTGTTAAAATACTACTAATCAGCATTCAGAGCCAGCAATTTCAGGCATCTAGTTATAATTGATGAATGAGTCCCTTATGGCATTTTAGGTCACTTTATATACCTGTCCTATTAGGCTGCAGAATTAATTCTTAGAATATAAGGCTTGTGCAGTGAGTTAATAATTTCCTTTAATCTTTTCAATAGGGTGTCAACAAGTGTCTTGTCTTGTAACGCCTACTTGCAGCCAGGCAACATAATGACATGCTTCCAGATTTTGTTCTCTGTATTGGGGATGACCGATCGGATGAAGACATGTTTGAGGTGATAATGAATGCCCGCACTGGTCCGTCGCTGTCTCCAGTTGCTGAAGTTTTCGCTTGCAGAGTTGGCCAGAAACCCAGCAAAGCGAAGTATTACTTGGATGACACTTCTGAGATATTGAGAAAGTTACAAGGCCTCACCGAGGTTTCAGAACAGGCTGCTTGTGCATCCCAGGCTTCTCAAAGACCGGTTATCGGCCGAGAATAATTAGACGCAATGACCCCCAGGCTCCCTGAGCTCTTTCTCCAGTGTACATTGGGTTGTTTCATTCTCAAATTAGGTGTTTTCATTACCTTATTTATTAGATATAAAGTAAGTTTTCCTACTGTTATTATTGCACAGTTTATGTAGCCCCATTGCTAGTAGATGAATTGAACTCTTATTGTTTGTTGTTCATGGCTTCTTATTGTTCTGATTTGTCGGCTAGCTTATGATTCTCTTAAATTGTCATTGTCTACCACTACCATTTATTGTTTACATTTTCAAATTTCTTATTTTTATTTTCGAATTTATTTTTTATAACAAAAACACCAAATCTATTATAAATAAATGAATATATCTATTTAAAAATTATTTTTTTAAAAATGTGCTAATGTAATTATGATGTGTAATGATGTCACCGGTCCAATCGGTTGGACTGATTGAACCGTGACTCGACCATCAGAACAAGTTATCCTCCGGTTCGGTTTTTAAAACAATAGTCATATGTATCTTTTAGTGACCAAAATTTAGTGGTTAATTCTAATTATTTTAAACGCTAAACGTGAAATCCAAAAAATTTTCACGACTATTTTATTAGTGAATGAATGTATCTTTTGGTGACCAAAATTTAGTTATTAATTTTAATCATTTTAGACGTTGAATGTAAAATCCAAAAGGTATACCCAATTCGGTTTCTTGCATTTTGTTTTTTGTTTCGTTTAATATTATACATTCAAGCATTTCGTTTAATATTATACATTCACATCAACAAAATAATTGTTTTATATTTCAGCATCTCCAACATTTGAAAATGTAGTTCTTCAAGCATTTTTATTTTCTGTTTTTGTTGATCAAATAAGATGAGCTGCTCTTCCAACTATTTAATCTTATTTTCTCGTTGTTGTACTATAGGCCTTAACTCTACTTCTGCTCCTTCAAGTAAGATGAGTTGCTCCTTCAAGCATTGTTGCATGAATATATCATTGTTTCCTACCATCAATTCAATGCATAATCAATAAGTCAAGCAAGAAACTAAATAATTAAAAATAAATTATAATTATTTTGAGGTATACAATATGTGACAAAAACTTATGAAATAGCAACAAAAAAGAAAGACTACTCCTGAAAGTTCACAGAAAGTACTGCAGCACCAAACCAAAATCAAATTGATGGAGTAGAAAAGCAAGTATCTCACAGATTATCAATCTGAACTTCAATTCCCAAGTTTAAAATTTTAAACTAAGTTAAATTTCTACTTTCATTCAGCCAAATGTGTTTTGTAGAATAAAACCTTGTTCATAAAGGCTATGAGGAAAATAGTTATCTCACCTAGTGTCAAGTTTAATGAACATGAATTTCCTTTTGCCAATAATCTTGGTTTCAATTCAAGGTCTGATTCTGGTCCCAATTTCTGTACTTTTGATTGTTCATCTAATACATTGCATACATCTTCATCTCTACCATTCACTGTTGTTCAGCATGTTGTTCCTTCACCACTAACTCCAAAAAATCCTTCCACTGTTATTGATTTCAAGTTACATACTACTTACCCTACTACACAATCAGCATCTAAAGATCAAACTGTAGTAACTACTTATTAGAGTCAATTAGATAACATCACAATAGTCAGCACCAACTCACCAATTTCAACCAAACACTTCTCATAACAGTTTATCCCGAGGACAACCAACAACAACTTCAATCTTAGATATTGATCCTCCAAACACCATAAACATAGAAACCTCTCAAATGGTACAATCCCTTCCTTCACCACACTGTTGTCCCTCGGTTTCAACTCTTCTCATTGTCACCTAATCAAATTCAATCCCTTCAAATTCAGCCTAACTAAGTTAAATGTCTACATAAGTTTACCAATATCATAACTTTACCAGTGTTTGCAGTGTAATTTTAGTTAACCAATATCATAAATTTCTACATAAATGTATGAAAGGTTTCTACATAAATGTATGAAAGGTAAAAAGATAGCAATGAACTAAAAAAAAATATTAGTGTCAAAAAACTCAGAACTAACCTTTATGTGAGCTGAAGCCTTGTCAGTTGTTGTGAAGACCCCAGAAGATTCAACAATATACTCAGCCCCATAATCGCCCCAAGGGATCTTAGCCAGGTCCCTAGGTAAAGAGTTAAAACATTAGACCTTAAGTAGAATCAATTACTTATGTTTGCAATAAAACCACGCCAATATATAAATCTTCATTTGATCTCTGAGGCCCTACCTTTTGCTGAAAAATTTAATCTGCTTCTCATTTATTTCCAAAGTGGATTCTTATTCAACACCTTGAGGGTTCCCTTAAAAACTCCATGAGTGGAATCATACTTAAACATGTAAGCCTGCAAGAGAAGAGAAAAAAAAAAAAAAAAAAAAAGTGAACAACAACTCTTTTCCATAATTTGAGACGCATAAGAAATATTTTACCATGATTGGATCATTGTAGAATTGCGTATGTAAGCAATCAGTGGAATGAGAAAGAAACCCCATAACCCACATTGAATTTTAATGCTGCCCAGTCCTTCCTTCTTGCTCAAGCCAATCCCTAACAGACTCATAGTCCATCAAGCAATCGCAATAAATCCATCAATTCAAATATTAGCTTTCTTAACTTTCTGGCATAACCTTCCAATGAAACTTCAGTATACAAGGTCAAAGTGAAATGATTCCATTGAATAGGACAACTATACATATATGTATTGCAACCATTAACAATCTTTAACTAATAAACAACACTAATGTGAGATATGAAACATGGTTAAACATGAATTAAACAAAATGAAGTCAGCAAAGGTGTCCATTGTACAATAATGTGATTTGAAATGCAGCTAATAATGTGTTACCAATAATTGCATGTACACTTACCACAAGCACCCTATACAGATTTCCTACCGCAACCTTCTGAATCTCTATGCGCTACAATTGAAACTATGAAATCTTTATACTTTGTGATCACAAGGCAAACGCTCATGCAGTGCTCCAAAGTATGTGACAAACAATTCAGAAATAAATAGTTCTACAAAGCTGAAGGATTAAAAACTTGAATAAATTATAACTACATCCTCAGCCACAAGATCGTGAATGAGTCCAAAAACCTGCAGTTAAACCAGAAAGGAGAAGCGATCGTTACAAAGAAAACATTTCATTTTCAAATTTGTAGTCATTAAAAGAATATAATAGACACCTACAAAAGAACTAACCAGTATACACTGAATGTAACAACAAAATTATAAAACAACACACAAAACGGGCATAAATAAATCGATTCAGTTTCCTTTTATATGCATTTCTCAAAACTCGGCCAAAGGTACTTAAAGATAAATGAACTAGTTAATACAAGTCAACAAACCTATAATATACAAATCATACCAGATAACCCAGAATATCAAATTACAAACATAAAATCCTCCTCCACTAAGGCTGTATATAATCTAAAATCCATGATCTGCCAATCCTTTCATATTCAACTCTTATCCAAGACTTGATTCTACAATGATCACAACAAAATTATAAACCCTAAACCCATTTTCAGGAAACCATTATAGCAATTAACCCTAGCATAAACTGGAAGTTTTCATTGCCGTTTTGTTTTGTTATTGGAATTGTAATCAAACACTCATTTAAATAAAACATATGATCATCAAAAACATTAACCAGAAAATTTAAAAATATTTTTTGATTTCAAATTTGCGCGTGTTTTAAAGTAAATTCAACATCTTTAACTCATAATCTAAATCGTCACCAACCACATAAACGTAAAATATCTAAAAATGAACAGATAAATTAATAATAAATGAATATAATACACCTAACAATTGGATAAGAAATCAGAAGGAAGCAGATCAATTCCAAAAAAAAATGGAAAGCGTTAAAATTAAGGCAATGGGAGGAGAAAAGACAGGAGATTGAAATTCCAATGGATGTAGATTGGATTTCTTTATCAAAGAAATCCAATCTACATCCATTGGAAATTGAAGGAGTTGTTTGAGATATATAGGCAGTGTTAGAATCGATAGGTTTTAATAAAATAAAAATATGAAGTACAGATAAGGCGGAAATGGAAATTGAAATAAAATGTACTTTTTGAAAGGTCATTTTGGTAGTCAAGATCATTTATCAGGGAAGAAAAAGTTTATACTACCAAACATAATCATGAAGCAAAAAAAGACTCAACCAAACACTTTTATATTACCACTAAAACTTGCAATAAAAAATTGCACAGAAAATAACTATATGAATCATTATTTAATAGTTAAACATCCACCAACCAAAGAGAACTTAACAAATAGTTAAATATTTAGTTAGAGATGAACACAACCCTTCAACTACTTTCACAAGGCTAATCCCTTCAAAGTCAAAATAAGCAAAACAAAGAATAGTTCCAATCAGAGTAAAACATACCATTGATTCCAATCTTTGTGCTCCCACTACTCCGTGTTTCTAACAAAACAAAACAAATCAGCACACTATTAAACTAGTTTCCAAGATTATGAATCACTAAATGAAATCCTTTTATTCTTACTTTGAACTATGGGTGGCAACTCTGTAGCAGTGGCTTTGATGGATTGAATACTCTTGGCAACTAAGATTCCAAGCTCAGTTCAGTTAACAACAACCAAACGGAGCTTCTAAAAAACGAAGGCAAAAACAGAGGATGACAATCGAACCTTGAGACGATCGGAGGAGGAAGAAGGGAAGTCGGCGGCGCGTGAAAGAGAAACGATGGGCGTAGGTCTAAGGAGAGAAGAGAAAGCCATTTGTTGAAAATAACAGTGCCACTTTTCCCAAGGCTTCTTTTTTTAACAAGCAGAAACCCTAATAAAGAGGAACAGAAAAGAAAGGAGAGGGCTGGCTTTTGAGTTTTGATAGGAGGGAGGCAGGCAGGCAGTGGCCAAAATACGCAATGAAGTGTTTTTAAAAGCAAAAGAAAACAATTGTTTTTTCTCAGTTTTGGGTTAAGAGTTGCAGACAATCCCAAATCCATAATAAGGAAATTAAAGTCTAAGATATCAGCAACTTTTAGTTGTTAAAATAACATACCCAAAATTTCAATTTATTTCAAGCGAGAATATGAGAGGCTCAAAATTTATCATACCTTTGACAACTAAAATCTTAGTTATAAAAAAAAGATAATTTGCAACTAACTAATTAGTTACGCAATAGTAATTTTAGTCATAAATTAAAATCATATTTTTTCATTTTACCAGAAAAGTTGGGTTCAAAAAAATTGATCAACTTTTAGCGACTAAATACATTTTAGTTGCTATACATGAGTTTTTGCAATTAGTTGTAATATGTACAAAATAATTAGTTGCCAAATGTATCATGGACCCTTTGTAATTATTGTCAAAAGTTTGGATATTTCAGTAATTGTATTATTTTGTAACTAATAAAAATAGTTACAAATTAATTAATAAATATTTGCATCTAATTTAGCAACTATTCAGTAGTTGCAAAATTTTTTTTTCTGTAACCATAATTTTAGTTGCAGAATCCTTTGTTGTAGTTGCTAATTGTGTTCGCATAAGAATTGAAAACCAAATAAATTAATCGCTGATGTGATATTTTGGACAACAAATCACATTAGTCGTAAAATATTAATTTTAGACGCTAAAGACGAGAATAAACGGGCCCTAGAATTTTATTCCCTTTGACTGACTAATTAGAATTTAGTTATTAAATGTGAGGTATCTATAACTATTTTTGCCTTAAGTGCAAAAAAAAAATAGTTGCAAAAAATACTTTTTCTTGTAGTGATACTTGGGATAGGTAGTTTTCTTTTATTCTTCCAAAATCAAAGAGAGTGGTTAAAACGTGAAAATTGATGATTCTGATGATTCTGCCGTGTGACGTCGCACGCTGATCAGAATGACCAATGGGCATCTTATGCTGGACCAGGTGGATGGAATGGTTAGAGCTAACTATATCTACATGTCAATCTACTATATAATACCAACTCATGATTTTTTACTTTGTTGTTGAATCTATAGACCTTGACATGCTTGAGAGGAATGTCAACAGAAGAATGCCGCTCCCACTCCAGCATTTGGGCCTAGCAAAGGTGCTTGATTGATCATATTTAAGGACAATTCACATACACTTGGTGCTGACCCTGCTCTAAATGGCTATATACTTTTTGTCAATGATTCCGTAGGCTCTCCTTATCCTTGGGTATGATATTCGTTCCATGGACAAGGACACATTGGCGGTGATTACCAACAAGGAGGTTATTTCTGTTAACCAAGGTTAGTCTTTTGATCACCATATATCATACATTTTAATGTATTCTATTTATTGTGATCACGTAACATTGTAACAGATAAACTTGGAGTTCAAGGAAAGAAGGTGAAGAAAACTAGTGATTTGGATGTAATTCAGTGTGTGTATCTGATAACAATGTTTGCAACTGATTTATAGTTCGTCATATTAATAAATGCTTCTAAGTTTCCAGGTCTGGGCTGGTCCTGTAAGTGGCAATAGCATGGCAGTAACATTGTGGAACAGAGGCTCATTTAAAGCCACCGTAAGAGCTGACTGAGTGACATTGGCCTCAAATCATTAGCAGTGGTTGATGCTCGAGATTTATGGGGGGTCTGACTCTATAAACTTCATTATTATTATTATTTTTAATCAATTTTGTCACCAACACATCCATGCATTAGACCCTAATTAATTGTGTGTTTTTTGATTTGATTTTGCAGCATTCAACTACTCACTCTGTTAAGAATAAACATGAGGCAAGCCATAATCTTATGCAACACAAATAATAACCCGCATATTTTCGCTAGAAGCTAGTAAGTGTCTCTGTTTTGTTTGTGCACTTTGATTTGTTTTTGTTTATATGTATATTGTTATTGATTCAAGTTGTGTTATGTGGTTAATGATGGTGCAGGTGCAGCACAGCTTTGTGGGTTTCTTGATGCAAAGAAAATAAGGTCAAGTTTGACTTTTAATATTTAGTTTATTTTGTGTATTCAATAACTTCATGGTGTATCTGCTCAAATTTATTGGACTCTTTGAAATGATATCATTATTGTTCTTTTTTAATATATTTGAGTTCACTTCTCTTTCAAAGGTTCTATATACTATTTATACTTATTTCTCTTTAAAATGGTTTGAGTCCAAGTTATATATGGTGCTAATGTTTGACTAGGGAAGAGTTCAATAGATTGACGAGTATTATTGAGTCAAGAGTTGTTGATAGCACTATCTTTGGAGATGCAGAGGATGCAAGATTAAGTGATCTGTCCAATAGAACATTTGTCAATGGTATTCCTTTCCTACAAACACAAGAAAATATTAAAAATTGAGCTGTCAAATATAGAAATTGATTGCTTCTGTAATTATATTGCCGATGTTGACATGCCAGATCTCTGCAGTGCAGCTGTTTCAGAGGCAAAAAAGTGGTTTGAGGTGAAGAAATTGGGTTCAAATTCAAAGTCAGATTTCTAATTTGATAATGACAAACACCAATAGCATGTGGAGCCGTAGTTTATCATGCCAAGTAGTGTGTTTGTGGGAGTCTGAAAATTTTTTCTTCAATGCATAATGACATTTGCTACCATGAACTCAAATTGTATGATCTGATTACTGTAGATGTTCTTAATGACACCTACATATCTATCATCTCTGGATACTTCATTGAACTTCATTCTGATGCTGGATTTGGTATTTTACATTGTCCATAGGCAATAGTCACAATTGCGGATGAAGATGGAAATTACTTAAAGGAGGCATGGGAGCATATTTTGATATGTGTGTCCAGGTTTGAGCACAATGTTCAGGTAATTACTCATCATCATTAATTAATTATAACATAAAATATCTTTCGTTAGGTGTGCTGGGAGAAATTTGGAAGGTACTTTGAGGTGGAGCTGACGGAGGTGAAGCTAAGAGGTGGATACTATGTAATGGACCTTCAAAAAGCAGTTGAAATGGTAGATGAGAACACTATTTGTTTTGCTGCTATTCTTGGTTCCACTCTCAATGGAGAATTTGAAGATGTTAAGTTTTTGAATGATCTCTTGACTGAGAAGAACAAACAAACTGGGTAATTATTTATTATTAATATGCCAATTTACAATCATTCATTACCTAATTTTACAAACTATTTTTATAGACTGGACACTCCAATCCATGTTGCTGCTGCCAGCGGTGGGTTTATTGCTCCATTCCTTTACCCGGAGCTTGAGTGGTATTTCCCGTTGCCTTTGGTGAAGAGCATTAACGCGAGTGGGATTAATGCGAGTGGGCATAAATATGATTTGACCAATTCATTTTCAAAGAAACCATTAACCACTACTAACATTTGATGCGTGCAAATGTAACACCTAATTTTACCTTACTAAATTTTAATACAAAGTTGTGTAGTAGTAAAGAGTAAGTAAGCGTCTTTCCCATAGATTATTTGCGAACTTAACTAATTATCTACTTCTAACAAGGGTTTGTCACGAATTAAAATAAATCAAAACAAAAACCAAGAAACTAAATTCAACAACTTAAATCAAGCAAATACTCACGAAAGAGAAATATATGAGAGAAAAAAGATTGAAGGTTTATTTGCCACCACTAGACATGAATTGCATAAAATAAAAGCATTTTTAACTTTTTACCGTCTTGATCACATCAGCTCAGAAAATACTAAACGTTGATAAGTTCCCTCTCTCTTTATTGAGTCACTGGGTTAGACACGGTCATAGTCCAATTCCCCATTTATTAAATAACCTAAGATAAGATCTCTAGATTCAAAGTAATAAAAGCATTAAGAAGCGAGAGACCTACTGAATCAAGGCTAAACTGATATGATTGGTTTAGTTATCTTAAGTGATTATCCCCAATGCATGCAAGTATACACTTTACCACTAGTTATTTAAGTTAATAAAGCGATTCAGTACTAAACAACCTAAATTGGCAATAATAGATTAACCCTAACTATTTAATTAACCACTTAAACAATTAAGAAAATCCATTTAAACCCTATTCTTAGAGAATAAATCACATAATCAAGAGGGATCAAAAAATAAAAAGATACAGATTTTTTTAATCACAAGACATATCTAGGGTTTTGAAATCACCCTCAATCACAAAAGAATTAGTTGCCCATGAATAAAAACAAAAACATCATTGCATTCATGATAACAAATTATACAAAGTGAAAAGAAAAACTTAGGAAAGCTTGATTAGATTAATGGAGTCGATGATGATCTTCTCCAATTCTTCTTGTCAAGCCTCTTTCAATCTCTTTTAATCTCTATATTATTGAGTATTTTTTTGTTCTCTATCCTCTCTCTTCCCTCAAAAAGTACCTAAAGACATCATTTTATAGTGCTAGGGTTGTGGGAAAAATAATGGGAAAGTCCTATACAAAATAGGAGAACAAAATTCAGATTAAGTTTCACAAGATCCTTGTTTATCTAAAATTCCCGTTCTATGCCGCAGTGCCAATTTTTTATGCCTCGGCACCAAACTCATTCATAACGCCTACCTCGGCACACTTTTTGCAGAAATCCTCCCTTCAAACCCGAGAGAAGATGCTGCGGTGCCAGAAATTTTCTGCCATGGTGTTGAAATATCTTCATTTTTTAGTACAAAAACGTTAGAATCTGAAGAAGTCATAAACATAAAAGTTGTAGTCCTGTGAGTTAGCTTTCCAATGGATCAATAATCAACCCAATTTGATATCTGAAGCTCAAGTTATCATCAAAATACCAAAGTATACTCAAAACTGAAGCATTTTCCAGATTTTGTATATGACGGTAAATCCACCTTAAGTTCATCAAAAATTCTCTCGCCAACATCATCTCCCATCCGAATATATTTTTAAACAATTATTCCCTGTAAACACAACACAAACACCTGTGATCCCGAAAAGTGCATTTATTAAACAATTAAGTTAATGTATGCAAATTAACCCTACTTTCCTACAAACAATACCTATAAACCACTAAGTATAAGTGCATTTTCAAACACTTATCACCATTATATGCTAATGGATGT